GCCATTTGATGGTGGGTTGGAAATATCAACCCACCCCGTTTTGAGATGGGTTGGCGGGTCAACCCTCCTAAAAAATAAAAATTAATTAAAAATAATAACAAATTATATTTTATTAATTTCAAAATATTACTTATTTTCATTTCACACTCCCCTTTATTTTTTTCTAATCTAAGCCTAAATATATGTTAATATTCAGCCAGACATTTTTAGGAACTTATTTTTGTCTCCATATATGGATAACCTTTGTCATAAGTAAAATTTTACTTATTTATTTTTTCTAGAGGGTTACAAAGATAAAAAAAATTATATCACAAAAGCTTAGTAATAAATAAAATACTATCAAATAGTAAAAAAAAAACTGACCCGCCAACCAACCTGTCCCGACCCGCCGCCAACTCATTTTAACCTACAATTAAGCTGGGCGGGTTGGTGGGTTGAGATATATAACTCAATCCGTCCCGTTTTGGCGGATTGACCCGTCGAATTCAACCTATGTTACCACATCTAGACTTGGCCCGCATTTGTATTTGTGTCCTGTTGGTGATAGAAACAACTTGTATTATGTTGTATGTCAATATGCAAACACATCACTAACTTGTATTTTTAATTTGTTAATTACAGTTTAATTAATGGATAATTTATGTTATGTCAACCCGCATAATAAACAAGCCGTTATTGTTGAGAATATAAATTTGAAATTGACAAATTATTCGTGTCGTATTAATCTACAAAATAAACGGACCATATTTATATTAAACATTTTAATGCAAATTTTTATTGGTGTCAGTGTTCAAGTTAAGCATATTCTTATTCGTATCAGACTTTTTTTTTTTTTTTTTGGTAAACTATTCATATCAGACTTTGACTCGACACAAACACGACTTCTCGACTTAAACACGATCCTCTAACACAAATTATCACCCTTCTAATAGGGTATGTCTTGTATATTTGCCAATTTATTTAGGGTTATGTTTATCTCATTTTACATGAGATAAACAACTTTTCTACGCACCTAAAAAAGTATTAGGTCTCACCACTCTTTTGGTTCTCTCTTCTTATCTGTGGGTCCCACTTATAATTTTATCTCTATAACATGAGGTAACTTTTTTCCCACAACATAAGAAAAATATTTCCCATTTATTTATCGTTGAATCTGACGGTGCACTTTTTTTATTGACAAATTTAACTAGGCCTTTTTCCATTAGAGTTTATTAAACTAGCTGCAAACAAATCGAGGCAAGCTCAATCATCAATTTCTTTAAATCAATAATTAAAATTCATTCAAATAATAGCTTAGCCACACTTATAATTCTTGATTGAACCTGAAGTTATTCTCAACCACCAAATGCTTGATCAAATATGGACTTGTAAAGGCATATTATTTCCTGTCTAGTTGGGCGATTGGAAGCATAAGAAAATTTAATCAAAGTTGTGTATCTGCATATTGATTTCCTATTTATAAAGATAATTGTTTGACTAAATAATTCATAATCAATAAATTAAATATATAGTCCCTAACTTCGTATATACCTGCTAGAGTTCAGGTACCTTCATAAAGTTTCATTTTGGATTCTCTAATTTTATGACCATTCCACCTGATGCTGTGTTTAGAAACTATGATATATAGGCCAAAGACCATCTTTGCCAAAGCAATTATAAAAGGAGAAATATCTCTTTACAAATTTTTTTTACAAATTTTTGCAAATTATACTATGTACTCCCGGAAGTACATAGTGTAACCCTCCCCATTATAAAATGCTCTCCCACCCCTTGCTCATAAAAAAGGCCTTGTAACATCCCCGTCTTGAGCCGGTTCAATTAACATACACATGATATAAACAGAAACAGCAGAAGACTTAACTTACGAAAATATGAGCTAACTTTTTCTTTTTCTAACTTAATTCTTACTCGGCGTAAACGAAAATCGGGCAGAGTTTCCTCTATAAATCGGACAACTGGGGATTTTCCAATCCCACTCAGAAGCATTTCCTGATAAACAGTTTATACAACATATCAATTCAGAAATACCAGATATCCAAATATAATCAAATACCCATACATGGGCGCATGCATAACATGGCTCCGTGCCTCTATATCTAACAACATGCCAGCAAAACGTAAACCTATCTGAATACTACATCATCATATAACGTTCTTGAATACTCAAATGTACATGCATCAAACTGACATACATGTACAAAACATATACAGGCCATATACAAAATAAAGGATCAATGTCATGATCCATCAAAGGCGGAAATACAAAATGACATTAATATACTTCCAAAAAGTAGTGGCCTACGGCCACTCAAAATCCAATCTGTCAACTGCCTCAGCCACGTGTCGCGTCCCTGCCTAGTGAGGACTCACCGGGAATCTGGGCACCTGAAAATATGTCCCCAACGAGGGGTGAGATTACAAATCTCAATAAGCTCCAGGTTTATAGAGAATTCTCCATACCCCTGGCTCACTCCTGCATGAAAGTCAGATACAGAGTATACAAATACAACATATAACAGATATCATAACAGAACAGAGCATATATCCATATCATATCAGAGATGTGCGCCGTCATTCCCAAGGGAGGACCCCAAGCGGAAATCAACGCACGTGTTCCCGAGGGAGGACCCCAAAGCGAAACCAGACATATCAGAGGCGTACACCATCAGTCCCGAGGGAGGACCCCAAAGCAGACATCTGGGTACTATACAATCAATGGCCAGAGATTGTTACAGAAATCATATTACAGAAGTCATATCAGAGCAAAACATATCATGTTATCAAATAACTCTATATGAATGCATCTATACAAAGCATCTAAATCACAGTCATACAGTCCAACCATAGTTCACTAACCATGGTGGAGCACTCAAGCAGGAAAAGACTCCTTAAACATAGAGCTTACCTCTTGAAGCTTTACCAATACCCTTACTTGTTGCACAAGTTACTTATATATCTTCAAGAGATTCTGATTCCTTTTTAGTCCCTAGGTACACCTAGAGCAAGAATCCACAAATACCAATTAATAAAATGCCATCATGCCTAGTTTTCACATAAGGCATACATTTTATCGCTTCTTTTCATTTCTTTGCGTTTTTGCCAATCCTATGTCAATACACAAGTCTAGACCTCTTTATAACCGTTGGTGTTCTTTAATTTAATCACCTATTCCCTTAGGAATTTTCAACATAAATCATGCTATTTTTCTTCAAAACTCATCACTTTTATACAATTTATTACAACACATTTTATTTAAAATAAAATGTACAAAATATATCCCTAAGCCACCCTATAGGTCGAATTCCACAATGACAATAGGCAAAAGGGTTCTTTTCTTTTTACTTATTCTTTCTTCACTTAGTTAGTAACTTACACACACATGTATATATTTATATATATACATATCCACAATGTCTAATTAAATTTTAAACATTAAACTCCTCCAATATACATCAAGGTCGAAACATAGGAGCATACTACATAGGATTTTTTCCCACTTTGGCATTCTCACTAATGCACCAAATTTCCACTTATTCCAACATATTAAACCTTCCCAATACATACAATAAATTTTGTACATCATCCCCTAATTACCCTATCAAGGCCGAAATCTAGGGCATCTCACCATGGGATTTTTTTCCAATTTTATACATGTTCACATGCTTATTCCACCTTCCTACACCCAACACATCAACAATCCATCATCAATTCAAATTTTAAACTAATTTATATCTCACTCAAAACATGCTCATAAATTCCAAGACATAAATCACAAAAATAAAACTATAGGATTAGAGGTTTCTCACCTATAGTAGCTATTCCAAGCTCCAAAGAACAAACCCCAAGCTTTGCTCACTCAAAAACCCCACTTTTCTACAAGCATGAATAGTGTCACGAATTGGGTTTGATGAATAACTCTCTCCACAAGCCAAATCAGCCCAAATGGAGTGGTGGAATGGATTCACTAGCCTTTTTCCTTAAAGATTCATGTATGGCATCATGGCTTTTGGTAAGAATTTGAGTGGAAATGAGAGGAAATAAAAAAAACTAACCTAGGTCCCTTTCTCCATGGAAGCGTCGAGCATCAGTGAGAGAGACGAAAAAGAAAGGAAACAGCGCGCAAAAAGAAGGAGAAATAAGGATTTCACGGTGTGTAAAATTTAAGTTACTTTAACTGGGTAAAGGTTTATCTATCTACACACCTCCATTTATTACCAAATTTTACCTAATGGACTAGAATATTTTTCTAGTCATATTTTTAACTTTACTTTCACTTTTCGGGTAACTTTGTTTACCCTCATTTTTATCCCTTAAGTGTCATTTTAACTCATTTTTCACTAAGGGTGACTTTATTTCTTTTACTTCTAATTATTCTTCAATATTAAATCTCCAATTACTAGTGAGGGTTATTATAGGCCTCATCACAATTTATCTGGTTTTCTGTTTTGTTTCCATTTTGAGGGGTCTCCAAAGTCATTCTAGAAGAAGAAAGAGGAAACAAATTCAAAAAAATGGGAAGCTGTAAGGATTTACAGTATAGTAACATATATGGGGTATACATTTCTGCAGCTGCTGTATATGCAGCAATCAAATACTTGCCATATATATACGTACAAGTATTAAATGTTGAAAATCATAACCATACAAAAGATGAGAGCATTAAATGTGAGAAATCATAACCATACACATGTCGTCGTTGTTGTACGTAAAGCGGCTGCAGAAATGATTTTACCAACATATATATGATATATGTTATATCATATGCTAATTTAAGCTTCTTCTTTTTCCAAGTTTTTCCTGGCCCTCTTATTTATTCTTTTCCCTTTATATTTGATAATAATTTTATTGAACAATCTAGCAGGTCCACAAGCCATATATGTACTAAAGTTCAGTATTATTGACTTGAACATGTTCAATCCTTAGGGCCACTCTATAGTACATTATACATTATACATCATATTACCCATAGTTGCCAGTTGACCACAACCATGAGTTTGTGGCTAAATGGCTAACACTAGTCCTGGCAGTGACCGGCGATATAGATCACGAGGCTGACTCTGCCACAATGTCATGTTATCTTGCCTCTCTTCCCACCTTGGTAGCCTCAAATCCTTCACCACTAGCCATGTGTTGAAGTACTCTCTAAACTGAGTTATGAGGCCATTTTTCAAGGTCCAAACGTGCACCCAATAGGCCTGCCCTTCCCACCCTTCGGTGATCACGCAGTCTCCGACGGCGGTGACACTCCTCGGCTCGAACCGGAACCCATTGTTGTGAGGTTTTTCCCCTGTTAGCACCCTCATCATGTGTTGACATTGAGGGGGACCATGGAACCACCATTCAAGGTCACTTGCTAGCAATTGGGCTACCATATCTGTTGTTCCTTGTCCCAATAGCCCCTTGTATAGCATTTCAACTGTTGCTTTGTTTTGCATCTCCACCTTATTCTGATGGTTCTCTGCCACCACAACAGAATCTATGTTACTTGCTGCCATTTTTCTGAAATTTATGCAGCTAGCTAGGCTTGTGCTTTTAGCAAATGGAACTTGAAACTTCCACTGTACTTGTGCATGGTATGGATGGCTTGGTTTTGTCACATTTTATAGGCTTAGATATGATGGTAGATATCCAAAGTTTGGTGCCTTATTATTGGTTCAAGAAAGCATAGACGGTTGAGATTGATTGATTTATGAGGTGTGGGATTGGAGGGTGTGGATTACCTCCTAGAATTTGTGATTAATGTGGTAACATTTGAAATGACAAAAAGTGTCACACCAAAAAATTATATATATATAATAGTCATAATCATAAGCTTCTAAATTGGAATGCTTTTATGAGGGGGATAACGATGTGAAATTGCGGACATATGTGCATGATAGAGCCAAAACCAAATTTGGGGATGGTTCTTGAATGACTAATCAACCCTTGGCATGTTTGGCTTGTCATGTTGAAGGAGTTATCATTTTCTTTGAATCTTTAGGTATAATCTAAAAGTGCTATGAAATTGATTTGATGTTTTTGGAATGTAGGATGTAGGATCCCTTCCTTTATTTTGTTCAGCATAGGCAACTTGCATGCTCCCTAAAGCATCTGTTTAAGTTGAGTTAGCGACAATGGATTTGCCTTTTTTTCAGAGTTGCTTTAGATCATAGTTTCTTGAGGATAAGAGAGACAAAACAGAAACGGAACTTGAGATTTTAATATATTGTAAATTATATACTATACCATAGATATTTGGGACAAAATAAAGTTAACTAATTATAAGAATAAGAAGTTTTGTTTATTTATATTTGTCATTGAACCATGTGTATCCAATGACTTAAATAATAAATTAAAATAATTAGATATAAATAAGATCAATAATCAAAATTAAAAATATAACTTAAATTAGTGTAAAATGATCATATATATCCTTATATATTTACCTTATTTTGATAATTTGATTTACTTAATTTTATGATTTGTGACGTTGACATACAAATTGTTTAATTCTTCATATTTTGTCAACAATATGTTCTCTGTGCATTAAAATAAGAGTAAATATCATTTTTAGTCCCTAACAAAAAATACGGTCCCCACTTTAGTTCTTACAAAAAAAAAATTAGTCTCGAGGTCCCTAACAAATTCAAAGTGAACCCATTTAATTGAAATCGTGATCCCTCACAAATTTAAAAAAGACCCATATTAGTCCCTCAAAAGAACTAAAATGGATCCACTTTGAATTTTATAGGGACCAACTGACTAATTTTTTTTTGTAAAGGACTAAAGTGGGTACCGTATTTTTTGTTAGGGACCCAAAAAGCTATTTATTCTTAAAATAAAAAGCATTAAAAAGGTCATCACCTCATGCCTTAAAGTTTTGGGTTAAAATGGTTCTTTACATGATATCATCCCCTTAGTGACCACAAGTTGCGAGTTTGATCCTCATCGTCCCTCACTTTCAGGTGGAATTAAAAAAAAATAAGGCAGACCAAAAATAGACTTATGTCATATCCACGCTTCATGTCTAAAGGACTCATGCGTGAAGGGATATATTAGAGAATAAAATAAAAAACATTAAAAAAACTATCATCTAACACCTTAAGATTTTAGATTGAAATAGTTCTTTACCCTTGGATTACAACGGAGGCACTTTGGATATTAATAACCATAAATAACACTATTATCCACGAATATATGGGGAAAAGAGTTTATTCCAACATGAGAGTCCAAGTTCCAGCTGAAAAGAACCAAATTAATGGATGATTTAGTGGAAAAGTTCCTTTTTTAATTTTTTTTCTCTTTTGTCTTTGGTCAGCTAACTGAAGGCTAAAAACGAGAATGAATCCTCTCATATATTTTTTTAACACGTTTACTTCATGTGAAAAATCTCAATCGTTTATATTAACAAATCAAGGGCTACAATTTTAATAATAAAGTTGGTAAAACAGAGAAGAATACTCATTTTAATTACTGGCTATTAATCTTTCAATGAAAAATTGAGATTTTTCACATAATAAATTATATTAAAAATATACATGAGACGATAAAATCATTCTTGATTTTAAATTTTTTTATACTGAGATCGTATATCTGGGATAACTTATACATATATGTTCTGACTAATTTATTTCTATGTTTCTGATCAAAAGCAGGTGATCCCAAGCCAAGACTAAAAACAAGAATATGTCTTGTATCTAGCTCCAATCCTCCAAGTAATTAAGATGTTAAGATTCGAAATTGTGCTTACATAAATGGAATGTGAAAAGAGAAAAATACAATTCAACCTTTAAAAAAGTAGTCATTAACCAATGTTATATATATATATATATATATATATATATATATATATATATATATATATATATATATATATATATATATATATATATATATATAGTAGGATCCTTTGACACCGGTGTCAAATTTTAATTTTGACACCTCATCTCAGAACCGTTAGATCAAAAAAAATCAATGACTCTGATTTGCAAGCATGTAACACCATTGATCTATTTTGATCTGACGGCTCTGAGATTAGGTGTCAAAATTAAAATTTGACACCGGTGTCAAAGGATACTACCTCATATATATATATATATATATATATATATATATATATATATATATTAATAAATTAGCTACACATTACAAATTTACATGCAACTATAACAATATAGGTAATTTCAATATTTATTTATTTATTTAACATTCTTCTTTAAAAAATCACTGATAAAAAAATAATTTTGAAAAAACTTTTCACTTTGATTCTATCTTTTCTTTAATTTTAGATTCGGATTCATCCTCTGCCAACTACGGAACTACCTAAATGTTATGCTGAGTTAAATTGAGTCAAATATAGAGATTCAAGGAACCAAACTATATATGTTAACATTCTTCTAAATTATACAATTATATATGTGTACATGTTTTTAGTTTTAGCTCATTCTTAAATTTTATTTTATCCAAATATACTTATTTTTCAAAAGTTTGCATTAATTTTTCCAGTCTCTGTGAAATCTATGAACAAATCTATGCGAATTTGGAACAAAAATAGTATATTTATTTGTGGTGATCATGCCAATATATTCTGGCGAGAGCTATATCTGGATCTTGGTCCTTAGCCCTCATGTGTTGCTCTCCCCATCACTTACCAGCCCTAAAATTTGATATGCCTCTAATAATGTTAAGACGTAGGACCCCATTTGCATTTACTACAAGTCCTAATTTACGATATATATAGAGTGGTACCACAACTTGGGAGTCCCCATGAGCATGGCCACTACACACTGAACTTTGCTTTTCAACCCATTTAGTTTGCTCAATCTTAATTAGTAGGACCACTTAAGATAGTTGACCTGTTATAGGGTCAGAGAACAATGTAGATGGGATTGCCAATTAATTTGCTACAAATTATTGGACAATCTTTGACCATTCAACTCCATTTAGACCTTTAGACCATTAAAATCTTCTTTCGGGATTTGTTCTTGGTTGCATTTTCACTTGCAATTATACCTTTGTTATGTGTTCTATATGCTTTAATTAGTTTGATATTAACTTTACCATTGAAAACGACATTTAAAAATTAGAGCATAGGATAAAGTAGGTATAAAGAATTAAAACTACTATACTTTTTGACTCTTAAAATAGGAATTTTATAAAGTGATCCCGGCCCATGTTTTTTTAGGTGATCCTTTTTTATTTTTGGAAAATTTTGATTCCCTCTCAATCCCTCACTTTTTAAAAAATTTCCTCCCACTCCTTGTTTTTTTACTATTTTTGGAATGGACCATGTGTACCCGGCCCATCAAAACAAACCTCCTTAAAATAGTTGTAGCTAGAAGAATTAGGATTTTTTGCTTATTTAAATTGGAACCATGTCCCTAATTTTGACTTTGCCAAATTAACTCTAATCAATGACCAATTATACCTTTAGGTAGTGTTTAGTAGGAGTTATATTTGAAGATATATAGGCATATGAGATTGGTATTCCATTTATATCATGTTTGGAACAAGACATTAGAATATTTTACCAGCAAAGTTATTTACCCAGGGTTCGATATAGTTGCTTGTAAAATGGGACCAAATACATTGTGCAAGAATACCACTTGGGATGTGGTATTTGAGGGGAAATGAAAAAAAGAGCAATAAATTGCTAACAAAAATACCCTCAATTCTAAGTGTTATTCATATTCAAAAATTATAAAAGGGTTATTTTGGTCATTTAAACTCATTTTTTCATTAATATTTTATCTTCAACCAAACATATACTCATAAAATTTCACCCAATTTTTCCAATAATATTTGGCCTACCAAACAACATTTTTAAAATTTTCCTACCAAACTTGCATTCCCATCATATTCCTAGTAATTATATTTTTCTGATAAAAAAAAGTTCTCCTCTGGTAGGAGGTGAAAAAAAAATTTCTAAAAAAATGGAGTGGAAAAATTATTTGTCTATGTTTGGTAGGAGGTGAAGTAAAAATATGGCTAGAAAAAAAAAATTCCATCATTTGCTTTTCTATGTAAAATAATTGGGGAAAATTACCATTGAAAGGGTGGAATTGTTTTTTTTTTCATGTGGTAAGAAAATTAACACACAACATCAGTAAAATTAACTCAATATTCTCGAAAAAAAATTGGCCTACCAAACACCTTTTAGTAACTTATCCAGAAAAAAAAAATCTATCATATTTTCGAAAATTATTTTTTCTGGTAAAAAAAAATTATCCTCTAGCAAACACTCTTAAAGTGTAAAAACACGTTTAGACAACAAAACGAAGGACAAAATCTCTCTTCTTTGAATTCAAAACTTAAATTTGGTGAAAAACAATGGCATAGCTAGAAATTTTCTTGAAGGGACCAAAATTATAATTAAAATTTTTTCTTTGAAGTTATACTATTTATATGACAAAAAGATTAAAAGTAATGTTCACTTCTAAAAATTTATATAAATTTGAAGGGGATGAAAGCTCCTTTTAGGCCTTCCTCACTCCACCACGAGTGAAAAAGAAACCAA